GGGCCACATGACACCCTTCCTCAAAATAAAATAAAATAAGAGGCTGGGGAGATGGACCAGCAGTTAAGAGCACGGGCTGCTCTTCCAGAGGACCCAGGTTCGGTTGCCTGCTCCCACATGGCAGCTCACAGTCATCTTTATTTTTTTTCTCATTTCAATTCTTTTATTGTAATACTGTTATACATAAAAATGAATGAAATTTTTAGTCTTTCAAACAGCCCAGTGACAGCTTTGCAAATTAAATATTTAGAAGTTTGAGGCTGGTTCAAACTACGCACAAACCAGGACATGATATTGAGCCTTCACAGCCATCTTTAACTCCAATTCTAGAGGATCTGACTCCGTCTTCTGGCCTCGCTGGGCATCAGGCACATAAGTGGTACACAGACACACATGTAAACAAAACACATAAATGCATAAAATAAAAAGATTGCTGTTTATAGCTGCAGGCTTTTTTCTATTTGACAGGTAAATAGCAAGGCCCAAAGTGAGGCTATGCCATGACTAGGGCCCCAGAATGCCAACTCCTGTTTCCTGTCTCTAATGGCTTCTTCCTGCTCTATATGGAAGAGAGCCTGGGATAGAAGCATGGGGAGACATGCTGTATTCCATGAGTGACCATCACCAATACTGCAAACCACCTCCATTTGTAAGCCTGGAGAGAATACTCCACTGAGAGGCAGGATTAGTCGGTGCTGTGGTACTCTAACAAGTTACCTGAGCTAATCAACTTATGAAGAAGAAAGGTCCATTCGGGCTTGCTGTTTCAGGTGTCCCAGGCCATGATCTATTGGCTCAGTTGCTCTATGATGAGGTAGTTCACCATGGAGCAAGCACATGGTGGAGAAAAAACACGCACCTTGTGACCAGAGGAGAGGCAAAGAGGAAGAGGAAGGGGCTAGGGGGTCAATTGTTCCCTTCAACGGCATGCCCCCATCAGGCTGAATGAGGACTTCTTCTTTGGCCCACCTCCTCCAAGCTCCACCAGCTCCCAGCAGCCCCCCTGCCCTGAGGAGTAAGCCTTGGGCCTCTAAGGGATACTTGATTGGAAAAAACAAGACTTAACTTCTCCCGGCAGTCCAAGTTCAAAGACTCCCTGACTCCATCCACAGGACAGGCATTTTCTCTCCCTCTCCTCCCCTAGTCTTGCTCTTTAACTGATTTTGATTCCTGGTGGCCTTGTGGAGCCTGACAGTGTCTGGAACACAGCAGGAGCCAGTTATGTGCCTGAGGATTGGATATGGACCCCATCAACTCATCTAAGTGGAAAAGCTGTGCCAGCCGGGAGTGAGCCAGCTGGGCACCAACAAGCTGCATACTGAGGACACACAGGTGCTGGGGCGTCACACAGGATGGCTTGTTTCTCAGCAGCTTAGCACGGCTGGGCCTGTCTCTGCCCACGAGAAAGCTGAGCTCCAGGCCCATTCTGAAGGCACCCAGTTCACGTTGGACAACAGGGCTCCTCCACAGAAGGGCAAAGAGGCAGCCTGGTCCCACAGTCAGAGGCCTGGTCCACAGACTGCCTGCCCTATGTTCTTTCCCCACCATGACACCAAATGGGCATGGCCTGTGCCCCTACCCTTATGCCTGTTTAGCTGAAGCTGTCCAGTTTGACAAATGGCCATTTGCTTCCTGCACCGGGGCTGAGGTGGCTGGCTGCCTGGGGCAGGGCTATAATTAGCGAAGGAGCAGACTGGATTGCATGCTGGCATTGACTGATAACTTTATGCCCAGATGGATAAACTTGATGTCATCAGAGATGTAAATATCATTTGGAAAAATTTTAAGTTTCTGGGAAGGTTCATGCCTGCTTCTCGCCATGAACAGCACTGCTCTGAACACCTGCTGGAGGAGCCTGGGTCAGCCTTGCCAGGGTGGGGACAGTGTGAAGGGTGACATCATCTTTGAATGACCAGGCGACTTTGTGCTTGATGGCTTGGTGCATGGTGGTGAGGGAGTCTGGAGGCCTGGGCTTTGGCATCTGCTGTGGGAGCATTGCCTAGGCTTTGGTGGGCTGGAGCTGCCACCACCAGCTAGCCAACAAGGAAATGGTAATGGCATTTGATGGGGGACTGAGATCAGACCAAGGGAAGTTTGGTTTACTGCCAGCAGGACTGTCCTGGAGTGGTCCCAGGGCTCTGGAGAGCTTATAAAAATAGAAGAATCCACCCATTGTCCTGCATAGGGCTGAGGTTGGCTCTGTCTGAAGTTGTCCCACAGCTCTGCAATTTAAGGGATGGATTTAAAGGCTCAGGCAGGAAGGAGGGGTGGGGACAAGCCTAGGGGCTGGGATCTGCTAGGAGGCCAGTGAGCAGAGGGGAGATACCAGAGCCCAGAGCTCATCTTGTCGGGAAGAGGAACTTTTAATGACAGGGTGCCTACAACTCTCAAGAGCACATGGAATCAATTCTGAAAACAGTAAAGTGGATGGATGAGCTATGTGGTTCAGGGACAGGGTGAGAATTAAACTTTTCACCATTCACCAAGGGATGTGATAAGGCCCCACCCCTCCTGCCCTGAAGAACTCTGGGTCCTGCATATTTGATTTCCTCCATGCCTGGACTCTGACAACTCCTGTGTTCTGAGGAATGTCTTCATCTGTGGTGGTTTGAATGTTTGCTCCCCAGTTGGTGGACTGTTTAGGAAGGATTAGGAAGTGTGGCCTTGTCAGAGAAGGTGTGTCACTTGGGGTTGGGCTTTGAGGTTTCAGAAGCCCATGCCAGGCGCAGTCTCTCTCTGTCAGTGCTTGAGGATAAGATGTAAGTTCTCAGCTTACATGGTCCAGTGCCATGCCTGCCTGCCTGCCTGCTGCCATGCTCCCCACTGTGATGGCCATGGACTCATCCTCTGAAACTGTAAGCAAGCTCCCAGTTAAATGCTCTCTTTTACAGTTTCTGCGTGTCCTCACAGCAATAGAGCAGGGACTAAGACAGCATCCAAAGAGCCAAGGTGCAGAACTCTCAGGGCTGACCCATCTAGGGCTAGGATGCAGTGAGCAGCCCCTGGGTGTGGAGTCATTCAGAAGGGGACCTGGATTTTTATGCAGGTGCTTAACCACTGTGTTACATCATCAACCACTTTGAACTCTTTTTTTTTTTCTTTCTTTATTTTATTTTTTGGATTTTTGAGACAGGGTTTCTCTGTGTAGCCCTGGCTGCCCTGGAACTAGCTCTGTAGACAAGGCTGCCCTCAAACTCACAAAGACCCATCTGCCACTGCCTCTAGAGTGCTGGAATTAAGGGTGCTCGACTATACCCAACGTAAGAATTGGTTTTTTAATATCTGCCCACCGTATGTCTCAGAACTCTGGGAGCTGAGGCCAGTCTTCCTTAGGCCATGCCCTGGGTTTTAGAGTCAATAGATAGCCTGTAGTTACTCTTTCTCTATTAAGGGTATAGTTTATTCCTGTGGATGCTATTTTCTTGTAGGGGGTTAGAGTGTGTGTCTGTCTATCTGTCTGTGGTAAAATGCTGATAAGGGGAGAGTGCATTTAAATCCCCTAGAAATCTCTGCTGTTCTGACACTCGGCCTTCTCCATGGTCATTCTGAGGGGAAATTCCTTCTTTAGGAGACTGACTGAAGCGTCTGCCCCCAGAGTCACTGGGAAGTGTCCCTG